TTTTTTTTGAGACAGAGTGGCATCACAGCTCACAACAACCTCCAACTCCTGGGCTCAAGTGAGTCTCCTGCCTCAGCCTCCCAAGTAGCTGAGACCACAGGCGCCCACCACAATGCCCAGTTATTTTTTGGTTGCAGCCGTCATTGTTGTTTGGTGGACCCAGGCTGGATTCGAACCTGCCACCTTAGGTGTATGTGGCTGGCGCCCCAGCCACTTGAGCCACAGGCGCCGAGCCTCAGAGTCTCACTTTCTTACCCTCAGTAGAGTGCTGTTGCATCATAGTTCACAGCAACCTCAAACTCTTAGGCTCAAGTGATTCTCTTGCCTCAGCCTCCCAAGTAGCTGGGACTACAGGCACCTACCACAGCCCCTGGCTGGTGTTTAGAGCCGGAGTCTTGCTCTTGCTCAGGCTGGTCTTGAACATGTGAGCTCAGGCAATCCTCAGCTTCCCAAGTGCTAGAATTATAGGTGTGACCCACCGTGCCTGTCCCAGTCCTCAATTTCTTAAGGAAAGCTTCATGCACTAGTTACTAATGCCAAACTCAAAAAAGTAAGCTGCTTTCTAGATGTTCCTGAATTTTTCAGTGATTGTTTTATCTACTCCACTCAAATTTGAATTTTTTTTATTTTTTTTGAGACAGTCTTACTTTGTCACCCTTGGCAGAGTACCACAGTATCATAACTCACAGCAATCTCAAACTTGTGGGCTCAAGCGATCCTCTTGCCTCAGTTTTTCATTTTTAGTAGAGATGGGGGTCTTACTCTTGCTCAGGCTAGTCTCTAACTCATGAGCTGAAATGATCCACCTGCTTCAGCCTCCCAGCATACTAGGATTACAGGCATGAGCCACCGAGTCCAGCCCTCAAATGTGATCTAATTGTTAAATTTCACGTTTTCATTTCAGTCCAGAAGTAATTCATACCCAGAGTTACTTGAAAAGAAAAGTACGTTTCTCTTTCATTAGATCAATTTCAGGAAGTTGAGTCTTTAATATAATACAGGAGTATAGGGCTTTATATCTGTACTGTCATTCCACGGAACAACCACTGTCCAAGCAGAAATACTAATAGCACCCAGGTATCCTTCCCCGATAAAAGGTTAATACTTCACCAAGCTACATAACTTGTCACTGAAATTATGAGATGCCAAACAACTATAGCCATCAACATTAGGGCAATGATATCAAATTGTTATTTGTCAAATAAATAACTTAGAATAATTTGATTTGACTATCTACATCCTAAAATGTTAGTAACTAGAAGGGGACTTTAAAAAAGATTATGGCTTAAGATTATTTATCAGTCTTCTCAGGACATACTAAAACAGTTACGAAAGTAAAAAGTATCTGTATCAGGAGTTCAAACTGACAAAACCAATAATCATTATAACTCTAAGTTTAATAATTAATAATCCTCAATTAAGTTTGTGTAATATCTGACAAAATCTTTAAAAACTGTTCTTTCCAAGAGAGTGAGAACCAAAAAATGAGTACTTTAATAAATAGAAGAGATACAAATTACAAACTTCTGATCTTTAATTGGAAGCAGCTTCAGTACAATATAACAATTGCAGCAATTTTAACCTACTTACTCATAGAGAGTTGAACATTTTTGTTTTGGGTTAATGTCCCATAACTTCTTGTTGCGGACAACATACTCGTTACTGTGCTGGTCATACAGAGCTTCGAATTCTTCCACATCTTGTCGAAGATGGTTAGGCACTGCAAATGGGCCTGCAGAATCTGAATTTCGTCTGCTGATTTAAAAAATACCCCCCAAAACAAAAGAACAATTAATTTTGTCAATACATTTTTGGCTTATTATTTACATGAGAAGAGTGAATTGAAACTGACACAATGATGGTAATAGGTTACTCAACTTTACTTAATACAGAAAAGTTATCCTTCAATAGATCTAATTAAGACATCATATCTGACATTCTGAGTAAGCACTTCCAACTATTTAGTCTTGCTACAACGAACGAATTTTTTAAAACTTCAGGTTTTAAAAAAAAACTAGTTGCATTATTATAACTTGTTAAAGGGCTAAGAGACGAGTGAAGATTTTATTGTAACTACTAATAAGTTAAAGAGAGATTGAGATTAGTTAAAAGTACCAGTAAAAGATTTTTTTAAAAAGAGCTTAAGATTTTAGCACTCTAAAAAGATGTAGTATTTTTTGAGAGTGTGGGCTCTACAACTAGACTATACGATTTAAATCCTGACTCTGCTATTTACAAGCTTGAGTGTTCTTGGACAAGTCACTCAACTACACTGTCCTCATTTTCCTAATCTGCACAATGAACATGTAATACTAGTACTTATCTCATAAGCTGGATGAGTGGATTAAATGAGTCTGTACATGTAAAGCCATTACAATGCCTGGTACATAAACATTAGTGTTCAGCTCAGTTAAGATTATGCTTGGGTCTGAATGTATGTGTCCTTCAAAATTTGCATGTTGAAACCGAAACACCATGGGATTAATGCCCTTATGAAAGAGATGGCCTCATCCCTTCCTCCATGAGAAGACAAAGCTAGAAGGTCCCATTCACCAAGCAGAAAGCTCACCTAACACACCCCACATCTGCCAGAGCAAATGGACTTCCCAGCTTCCCAAATTGTGAAAAATAAATTTCTGTTGTTTATAAGCCACTCAGTTTATGGTATATTGTTACAGAAGTCTAAAATGACTAAGGCTATTATTTTAACTTAAAACAATTTCTCCAGTTAAAGAATCCATGAAAATGTGCAAATTTAAACTGTTCTTATAATTCCTTTATAAAATGTGAAAAAAAAAATTGTGGGTTTTTGGTTCCTAAAATAGTATGATATAAAAAAGATTACTATTTACTAGTTTTATAACTTATATCTATTGTTTCTTGAAAACTCAGTTTCAACAACCAGATGGCACTGAAAATCACTATCATAAGGGATTAAGTAAATCATCTTTTCTTCTATTATAGCAAAAAAGCTAGTAATTATTAATAATTCTTCATTGACTATTTCAAAGAATATATTGTAGACATTTTTCTGGTATTTTTTCTGTGTAGGTTCTTGATACATATTTCCTGAAGGAATATCATTAGTCCTGTAACCTTAACGCAGTTTAAATGCTTTTTCTAAGAAATCAGTATCTTATTCTGTCCCCCAAGCTGGCATGCAGTGACACAATCCTAGCTCACTGCAACCTCAAACTCCTGGGCTCAAGTCCCAAGTAGGTGAAAATACAGACTCCTGCCACAACAGGTTGCTTTAAAAAAAACAGTTTTTGTAGAAATGCAAACAATGTAACCTATCCTATATATCCTCATATTAATCTGAAATGAAAAAAAAATTTTTTTTTAAAAAGACACGGTCCTGCTTTATTAACCAGGCTGGTCTCAAACTGCTGGCCTCAGTGATCCTACCTGGCTTCCAAAGTACTAGATTATAGGTGTGAGCTACTACATCTGATCCTGAATTAATTTTTTTTTTTTTTTTTGAGATAGAGTCTTAAGCTGTTGCCCTGGGTAGAGTGCCATGGTGTCATAGCTCACAGCAACCTCCAACTCAGGATCAAGCAATCCCCTTGCCTCAGCTTTTTCTATTTTTAGTAGAGACAGTGGTCTCTCTTTGGCTCAGGTTGGTTTTGAACTTGTGAGCTCAAGCTCTCTCCCCCCACCACCACCTTGGCCTCCCAGAGTGCTAGGATTACAGGTCCCACCCTGACTGAATTTTCAATGCCTATAAAACCCTGCTATAAATTCAGTCAGAATAGATTACATCAGGTTGTCACAAAAGATGAGGGAAGTTAGTGAAATAAAATGCAAGTTTATAGTATATTAAATTAACCCCACTTATCAAATGAAAACATTTGGTTAAAAGGAAGTAAAAATTTTAAGATTGTACTCACTTATGGTTTTCACCTGAAGTCTCATTTGGTGTTACTGAAGTTGTTCCAGACCCAACTAACATAGGCTGGTTTAAAAGACAGAAGAATGACAATAGTTTTCTACTTTAAAATTCCATTAATTAAAAAATACACCATTAAAACTGATGAAAGCTTACATGAACCTGCATGCCAATTGCTAATATAAAAAGATCTCCCCAAATTTTCTTATGAACAGGAACACATAGCAATGTAAGTTTCAAGGGTCACAAATAAGCTCAAACATTTAAGGTAGTTTCTAATGCTCCAAAAAAAATTAAAATGGCACTCAGTTTAAACACCCATTTTAGTGAAACTAAAATAAAAGAATATAGTCAAGGATTAAAAGAAGAGTTCTGCTGGACCTTCTAAGCTACTGCCAACATCTTCTAAGACTTGCTCATTCTCTCTCATCCCGGTCCCCTTTCTTCCCCCATAACACACAACAGCCATAAAGAACCCACCATGAGACTTGAAAACAATGCCCTATTTATATCATAGCTTTGTAGGACAGCCTTTGGAGAGTGGAAAGATCCTATCAATCCTGAGACTGTTAACATGATTATTATTAATCATTTTTAATTATTTTAGATAAATATTTGAACAAAAATAGTTCCAACAAAATCTTTTGAATACTAGAAACTTTTTTTTTTTGAGACAGAATCTCACTATGTAGCCCTCAGTAGAGTGCTATGGTGTCACAGCTCACAGCAACCTCCAACT